TGCAAAACTTCAGGAACAACTCCAGTACCACGCCTTTGATATCATGTACGCGAGTAAGTTTCCGGATATGTCAGTTGTACCTTTTTCAGAAAGGCACAAGCACCTCGGTAGATTGATTCATGGCCTTGCTTCATCCAAGGGACAAGTTCAAGAGAAGCCGGTGGTGTTGGTGCCTGCTGCTCAAATGAAAAAGGCTGACATACCACGTCTCCTTCGCTTGTCACTGGCAGATGGCTACGAGGGCATCATTGTACGCCGTGACGGTGTTGTTAGTGCAAGAGGAGAAAACAAACGTAGTCGCTCCGGTACTTCTAGAGGTGTGAACAAAAGTTCTAGCAGAGGGGTGGTAGTTGGATACGCCCATGGCGCCCGATCTCCGAATCTTCTAAAGTACAAAGTCATGCAGGATGATGAATACGTCATTGTATCCGGGGTAGAAGGGCGCGGCAAGTGGAAGGGTTGTCTTGGTGCCTTTGTTTGCCGTACGAAAAGAGGCCATCAATTCACTGTCGCCCCCGCTACAACAGAGCAGAGGAAGAAGGATATGTGGCAACGTCTTGCACAGTACAAGGGGAAGATGCTTACGGTGCAGTATCAAGAGCTGTCAGCAAATGGAGTTCCACGCTTCCCCATTGGCAAATGTGTGCGGGGTGCAAAGAGCGGTAAGGACTGGATATGATGGCATGATCGTTTGTACGAATACATGTGCAACCTTCCGCTTTTTTTTGTTTTTGTTTTTTTTGCACTTGCATGTACGCATTTTCCTTGTGGTTTGTATTTATGATTATATTTTGTTGTGGTTGTTGTTTGTTGTTATTTGTACTTTCAATTTTTCACTGTAACCATTTTTTTTTTTTTTTTATTATGTGCGATTGTGTTTTTTTTTTTTTTTGGTTGTTTTTGTTTGGTGTTTTCTTTATTGATGGGAGATGTTTGTTGTTGTTTGCTGCTGTCCGTCTTCTACCCCTTCATGTGTGCGGTTGTTGCGTCTGCCGCCGCCGCCGCCACCGGTGAGGGGAGGGGCTCTCCGAGGAAAACAGCAGCCAACACAACCCGCCAATTGCTGGACAGACACATGTCTTGTCGTTTTTTGGTGAACACCCACCGCAGCGGGCGGCCGGACGCGTCACACATTGCCGCTATTGCACGAATTCTGTTTTTTTTTTTTTTTTTTTTTTTTTTTGGTTCTTCCCACAGGCACAACATTACGGAGAACGGGGAGAAGCAAAGTTTTGAAGCGGCGGGCCCTGAAATAAAACAAGAAAACAACAACCAAAAAAAAAAACAGAATAATAATAATGGGAAATAGTAGAGAAAAAGAAATGTCCCGCCAATTATATTTTTTTTCTTTAAAAAGGGGACGGCGGTTGTTGAGATGAACTTTTTGTTGTGTGCCTGTTTGATTGGCTCTCATGTCCCTTTTGTGTTGCATGGGCTCTGTTTTCCCATCCTTCGCTTCTCTCGCTCTTCTGTTTGGTCTTTTTTGTTTGTTTGTTTATGAATGGTTTTGGCAAGGATTGGAGCGCGGACTGAAATGTGGCGGCGTTGCAGCTGCCTGGGGCGAGCGATCGTGCAGTCGGTGGATCCTTCGCTTCTTTTCGGTGCCGGCCGCCCTCGCACGAAGCAGCAGGCTGAGAAGTACAAAGAACTGAAGAATACAACCATTCAAGCTGCCTTTCCGCACCTTGCCGCATGTTGGGTGGGCCCATGCTGGGGTACCGTCATGATCACACCGCACCACATCTCGCCGCTTTGTTTAAAGATAGCAGTGTGGCGCTGTAGTGAATGCTTACAGGAGTTTGAGATGAGTATTGCCAAGTTTGTTGACCAGCATGGGGTGTGTCCGCTCTGTAAAAAGCCACAGCGGTCGCTCGAGGCACCAAATAAGGAACCGGAAACGACAAATGGAAGTTCCACTGAGGGGAAGAATGGCGACTTCAACTTGGGATCGGCCGCAGCCATGAAAATGACAACCACAACGAAGAATGAAGTGGTATATGCGAAGGCCCCACGCATGATTCACACAAACTACAAGAGTGTGTTGCATGACAACCCCGAGTGGGAGGAGATCAACATTCAGCCCATGCTCGCACAGAAGTGGGAGACGGTGGCGGCCGAACTCCTGAATCCAGGTCCAGGGGAAGAGAAGGAGCTCCTGCTTGCATCGCCTAAGATTGATGGTGTTCGCTGTCTTATTGGTTACAACAGACGTAAGAAGGAACCGCAATTCTTTTCCCGTAGTGGGATTCTACTGGAGTGTTGCCACGGACTAGTGCCGCACGTGATGCCGCTGTTTGAAGCCGATCCGACGCTTGTGTTGGACGGGGAGCTCTTTGCTCCTCAATGCAACTTTGAGGAACTGAATGGCCTTGTGCGACGTCTGGAGAAATTTACGACACCTGAGATGCGAGAGCGGCAGGCGCAATTGTTGGAGTACTTCTCCTTTGACATCATGCATTCGTCGCAGCTTTCGTCGTCCAGTGCCCCTTTTAGTGAACGCTACCGGCTGCTGAAAAAGATGGTTCCTACGTGTGGGGCAAAGCGCATCAGTGCATACCAGCACGATGAGGAGAAGCGTAAAATTATTCGTCAGAAGCAGCGCCCCGACAATGCTGCGGCGGAAGGTACGATTAAACTGTACCACGTCCCTGCAGCGCAGGTGGGTGCAGAAGAGATGGATGAGGTCCTGGAGGAAGCATGCTCGCAGGGGTTTGAGGGCGTGATGATTCGCCGTCCGGGGTTTCCATATGAGCATGGGAAGCGCAGCTTTGGACTTTTAAAGTACAAAACAATGCATGACGCGGAGTACCGAATAGTGGATTTCCTTCCGGGGCAGGGCAAATTTAGAGGTGGACTGGGTGCATTTATCTGCGAAACAAAGACTGGTATACGCTTCAACGCCACACCCAAGACGACATATGAGAATAGACTGGCACTCTGGGGGAAACGGCAGGAGCTCCTTGGAAAGTATCTCACCGTGCAATACCAGGAGTTGTCCTCGCAGGATGTGCCACGCTTTCCCGTGGCAAAGGCCGTGCGTGGTACCTCGGAAGAAGAGTTTTTGTAAAACGTACATACATGCACATACACAGACACATACAGATATAGATATATATATATACATATAGATATTTATTTATTTATAGATAAAGTGAGAGAGAGAATGAAAAAGAGAGAGTGAAAGGGAAAAAAGACTCATGAAAAGGGAAGAAGGAAAGTTGAATTTATAGATTTATAAAAATGTAGAATAAGAGCCAATAAAATAAAAAATAAAGGAAATAAAAATAAAGGAAAAAGGAAAAGGCACATGAGAAAGAGGAGGTGAGGGAAAATGTCAACTGAACCAACAGCAGCAGCAGCAGCGGCAGCAGAAGTAAGGGGAGGAGGGGATGGATATGACGGAAGGAGTAGACAGACACAAACCCACTTCACTCCATCTCGCCGTTTGTTGCTGTGAGCCATGAGCTCCACCCACCCATCCCTTCCTTCGGGCAATGCATTGCGCCCAATGATCCACTTCTCCGTATTGATTCCCATCACTTGCGATAATTAACATTTATGAGAGGGTGCTGCAATCTCGGGTTAAATCGTCCCAATTCCCTTATCGGTCTTTTTTGTTGTTTTTTCTGGGATTCCCCACACTTCTTTGCCATTATTGTTATTATTATTATTGTTGTCTACTCCGAACTAAAGAGGAGGGAACACGCATGAAGAAGATGAAAAAAAAGGAAAGGCGAATGGGAGGCGGAAAACAAATAAAGAAAAAAAAAAGGAAAAAAAAAAAAATAAAAAGAAGAAGAAGAAGAAATTTGCTTCATGTCATTTATGATAGTGAGAACAAAACTCATGCATGGAAAGAAAAAGAGAGAGAGAGAGAGAAAGAAAGGAGCGAGGGAACTCACATGTACTTCTCTGTTCTTTGGTTTTGGTGGCCCTCTTTGTGCATCTTTACATAACTCCTCTTCTTCTTCTTCTTCTTCTTCTCTTTCTTCTTTCCATGTGTGAGAAAAGGGAACTGGTCCCTTTGGTACTATCGCCTTACACTCAAACACATACATATATATATATATAAAGAGAGAAAAACATTATAAAGGAATTGTTAATAAACGCACGTATATCAGTATTGTTTTTTTTTTTAAATATATGCGCAGGGGTGGTGAGTTCATGTTGAGAGTCCCATCTTCTCGACTTTTTGCGTCGGGGCGGCGAATTCACGCCAGTTTTGTCAGCCACATATATCCGACTTCATGCATAGGCGTTCAACTGCGAGCCTCTATGAGAAACCGTGGGCAACTGGTAGGAGTGACAACACATGGTTGTTTGTGTACCTCACGTTGTGGTGTTGCATACAAGACGGATGCCTCTTCCTTTGAAAGTGAGGTCATTCAGTCCCAACAAGCCATTTGTTTGGTGTACTACCGGCCAGATAGTAGCAGTTGTAACGCCTACTTGACACATGCAGAGCGTCTTGTGAGTCGGCTTAACAGAGAGATATCGGATACGGAGAAGGATGGGTGCGATGGCGAAAAAGAGAAAAGTGTCCCTGCACAAAAGGCGTGGTTGAAGCTTTGCACCATTAATGCAGACGAAAACCGGAATCTTGCCTCTGCCTTTTCGGTGGAGCGGGCAAAGTTGCCTGTGACGTACTTTATCATGCAAGGCACCATCATTGACAAAGTCACCGGTCATGTGGGGGAGTCTCGGCTGGAGGGCATCCTGCGAAAATTCCTTGAACATTATAAGCAGCAGATGAACGTGGAATTGATGGGCGGTGGGTCACCGGAGCATCAGCATCCTTTGCCAGCTGCGGCCACCGCCGACCTTTTACACGGCGCCTCTACTCAATATTTACAGAACCGAATTATGGATGCACTTGTTGGTCCAGAGCGCATTCGTCTCCCTGAAGAAAGTGAGCAACTGGACGGCCTGCGAAAGACCATTCAGCAAGCAAAGAAGAAGGCGTTTGATGAGCTGCAAGAACTACGCAGGGAACTTGGGGTGGATGTAAGACGTCTCAGTGAGGAGGAACTGACAAAGCGATATCATCGTTCCTCGCAGTACATTGCTTGCACAGTGCTCTCCGCGCTTGAGGCACTCTTTTTGGCACGTGTACATGCCACTATCGGTAACATTGCGGCAGAGAACATCATATTTGCGTTGAATGCCATTCAACGCGATTTTTCCCCTGTTCTTGCAGACCCCACGGTACGAAGACTCATGTCTCTCTGCGAGGTGTTACTTGTGCGTGGGGAGGTTGTGCTGCTGCAGCGGAGGCAACACCACCTTCCATCCGGTAGTGATGATGCGGTCAGTGATAAATTGGCACGCACACTCCACTGGATTGACAACCTGGTCGACGCTCGCGTGGTACCAGAGCAGTTTCCTAGTGATGAGGTGGAGGCGATGTTCACGTTGCTTAGATCGAACCTCCTCCAGTCAAGACGAGAAGCATCGCAGCCCAAAGAGGGGGAAGAAAGGGCGATGGTGGAGACTGAGAGCGCACGGTGCGTGCGGCAGATAAAGACGTGCCTGTTGGGCCTACTGCAGTTGTACCACGGTGATCCCAAAAGCCAGGACGCACGTTCGCGGCTCTCCTCTCTCCTGTACTGAGATGCAGAGGTGGGCGTTGCACACACGGCACCAACCGTGGATACGCCTTTGCCGTCCGTCGCAATTGCTTTCCAATGTCATTAGGTGTATTTTTTTTTTTTGTGTGTGTGTCTATCGACGGCACAAATAACTTGGGTGCCTAAAAAGCAAACTTACAGACGCACGCAATGGTGAATCTGTGTGAAATAGGGGCAAAGGAAACCCAAAGGAGACGTATATACATGTGAAGGGCCTTTATTCTTTGGTTCTGTTTGTTTGTTTGTTTTTTTCCTTTCTTGTTTTTTGTTTTTATTATTATTATTATTCCATTTCTCTCTCATTCTATATGCGTGTATGTTTTTCCTGAAATTGCCCTGCCATTCCTTATTCTGCGCCATATCTTTACACTCACTCCCACTTTTACCTTTTTTTTTTTTTTTTTTGTGTCTGTGTGTCTGTGTGTATGTGTATGCTTGCATTTCCCTTCATTTGGCGTACTTTATAGGCATAAATACATATTCATATATTTACATTCATTTAGGGGCATTCATTGCCCATTTGCGTGCGTTCTTTCCTTTTTTTTTTGTTTTGTTTTGTTTTTTATTCCTTTATATATATATATATTCTGACTCTCAGCACACGCATATATACGCACACACACAATATATATATAAAGTGTGAGGGGCGGGATCGAACATGCGAACTGACTTCTCTCTTGAAGCTTTAAATGAGGCAAATATTTACCGTTATTACCCTAGAAATCGCCTTCCTTACCATCGCCGTATTCGTCATGATCATCAAGGGGAAATGGATTCGCAGCCGCAACCCATCAGTGTCAGGCGACATGGGTCGATTTCTCCAGGGAATAGCCGCGCCATGAAGAGCAAAGAACGTGATACAGAGTACAATTGCAGCCAAGATAGGAGGCAGCTTAGCGTGTTTGATTCTCTCACGACGCAGACAGGCGGGGCTGCAAGGGATAGCTTTGGTTGCGCTCCATACAAGGCCATTTACAATTTTACCACTCCACCAGAAGCATTTGACGGTGGGAACAACAGTGATGATGACAACAGTAACAGGAACAAAAAAAAACGCGGCAGTAGTGTTTTTAGTGGTGGCCGAAGGAAGATAAATTGCGGGGAATGCGACAAGAAAATGGGTGTGCGACAGCCGGACCTGGACGTTCCATGGGAACTTCGTGAGGCTTTTAGTGACCCGATTTGCAGCTACTTTGACTTTCTTGGTACCAAACATTTTTGGTTTCTAGTTCAATTCTCAGCCCGCGTAACGCTTATAGGCATGCTTATTCCTGCTGTGATTATTGCCTTGGAGAGCCATCAGAAGGAGTATATGTCTTTTACGTATACACTCCCGGCTGTTATTCTTGGTGCCGATATTTACGTAGGGGGTTCTGCTGTGTTTCTGGTACAGTTCCTGAAGGCAGGATGCATTTGGCTTCCACTCGCCACAGCGTCTGCTGCGCTGGAATTGCATCGTAAATTTGTGGTTTGGCTGGTGGTTTACTTCCTTTTGCTTTTCTTTATTGCATGTCTCACAAGAAATGTGACGCAGCGTATTTGTCTTCTGCTTATTAACATTTCTCTGGTGGGTCAATTGAACGGTCACACCACATTAATGTTTCCCTTGTATTTATTATTGAGTTGGCTTATTGGTCTTTTGTTTGGGTTTGCCGCCATCCTTTTGCCGTACCCAGTTTTGGCAACACGGTCTGCTCACTCCATCATACGCCGGCTTTTTACGAATGCCGGTACGGCGTTTAGAGGCCTGTCGACATGCTTCTGGGCTGTTTCCAACACGGAGCGTAGCATGGGGATGGTGCGTATCCGGCACGTCACGCGTTCACTGGACATTCTTCTTGACAAAGCGGAGAATGTGGAGAAATTGGCCTTGTATGAGTTTCTTTTCTTTGAAAACTACGAACGTCGCAAGGTGCGACTGGAGAAAGCAGATCTACTTGATAATTTACGCCTCAATTTGCGTTCCATGACACGAGTCATTGACATTGTGCAGGATAATGCGAATATCATTGACAATTCCAGTCTCTGTATTCAATTCGGTGAAATTCTTTCTCAATCAATGGAGGGCATCTCACGTTATGTGGAAGAATTACTGGATGGGATTTCAGAGGCGCAGACACGTCATGATCTTCTGAATCTTGGCCCTCGCTTTGAGGCGTGTGGGCGCAGCATTAAAAAACTTCAAGAGGAGTTTAGTGCGGGAAGTCGTAGGCTCTTTTACGAGAGGGGGCATACGGAGATGGAGGAGTTTGTTCCGCTCATGACGTTTTTTGTCTTTTCGGTGGTAAATTTCTGGTCGGCGCTGGACGAATTCCACCAACAAGTGCGGATTGGAAGTAAAAAATCCGATTGTGTCTCGCCAAAGCGCGTGTTGGATGCCATAAAGCGTCCTTTTGTAAATAACGTGGTTTTTCTAAAGAAACTTTTTCTAAAACGCAGTGAGGCGGAAGTGCGGGTGTTGGTAGAGGCAGGGAAAATCAGTGTTGCCATGTTGATTGCTTTGTTGTTTTTTTATTATGTACAGCCGGAATTATTATTGTTGTCAGGGCCAACAATTATTGCGTTTCTATCGGGTGTAAATCCGGTGCATGCGGTGCAAGGATCTTTGGCGCGATTGACAGGGACGTTATTTGGTTCTGTGGTTGGTTTTTTTGCAGCTTCATTGTGCAAAACGAAGGTGGATTTTATCATTAGCCTGTGCGTGATCACAGCCGTTTTGACATTCTTCCGGACTGGACAAAAGTTTGGACTTGTCTGCATGTACGCCAATTTTATTGCCATACCGAGTTTGTCGATTGATTCCCAAACGAAGACCGGCAATGTAGTCAGTCGCATTCAACAAAACTCATTTGCCATTATGATTTACTGCCTGATTGCGGTCCTTGTCTTTCCGATTAGCCCTGGGAAACTGCTGATGAAGAAACGTATGCGGATCCTGCAGACAATTGCTGATATTATGGCTAACATGATGGATTTTTATCGGGAGCCCCTGCATAATGAGCCCTTAAGATTTGACAGCCAAGATGGGGAGTTCTTACAAGTTAGCAAGGCCTTTGCCGCCCCTCACATTGACGGACACGGGGGAGGGGAAAGTACGTCAGGGAAATCTGGGAACAGGTTGAAGCCGGCGGGGATTGTGCCGACGTTCATCATGATGCCGGAGCGGGACTTTCGTATCTCCAATCTGTTTGATAAGGTGTGGTATCTGCGACGGGAGATGGCACAAACCGCGACCATCATGCCATTTGCAGCGGATGAACGGGGTATTAAACCGTTTATATATCCACAGAAGGCCTGTGAGGCGGTTCACACTGCTCTTTATCGTATTTTCGCTCTTGTATATACAATGGTATGCAGCTGGAGACTGATGCGAGACAAGGGATACTTTACACCGGAGGTACGTCGTATTTTACTTTACTTGTACCCTGTCGCCAATGACATAAAACACAGTCTGCAGCGCTTCGTGAATCTCTTGAGTTTCTACGTGGCACATCCCTCCTCCTCGCTGGGGTCGGAGCTGACAAAATGTCTCTTGCAGTTCCGTGCTCTTGTGAGTGAGTTATCCGTAAGAAAACACCGTGCCATTTTGGCAATCATCAGAGAGGCGGTAAGGAAGCAACGACGGCGTGAAGGTGAGGCACAACACATGCGTTTTTACGGAAACGATGGGCCTGATAACGGCGGCAGAAACGAATTCGGCGCAACTATCTCTTCGACGACCGTGGAAGGAACCGGCAATGCGACAATCGCCTGGGAGCGGCATCGACGTTTGCGGAACGGGGATGCGCCGGAGACGATCCGGGGTGAAGACACTTCATCGCAGCTTACGGACCGCGATGTGGACGGAGCGGTGGCGGACGCGGGGAACGAGGCAACGTCAGATTTGCGCAATGCACCAAATGAGCCAGTGACGGCTACGAGAGCGACGAGCGGCAATTGTCGTTTACCGATTCCGGGGGAGAAAGAAAGGACGGGAGAAAATGGCACGGCCGATACTCTCTCACAAACACAACGACAACAACAACAACAACAGCAGCAGCAGCAGGGGCAGCACCACAGTCCCATTGAGAATGTTTCTTTGCGCTTTCCTAGCTTGTCTACGTTATTGGATACCGACGTTTCAGAGGGCAACGAAGATCTTCCTTTCCAGGGCTCTGTGCACTTCTCCGAGAGTTTTACAATGCCCATCACGGTGTCTGACGCAGAAGGACTTCATTCCATTACACTCGCTTTAGATATGATGGGGAAGGAACTAAAAAACGCCCTTCTTGCCTTTGAGGACATGGTGCAGGCGAAAAACTATTGATTGCCATCCAACCATGTAAATACGCATTCCGCCTTTTTTTTCCTTTTTTTTTTTTTTTTTCTTTTTCTTCTTCTTGGTGGTGGTGGTGGTGGTGGTGAATAAGTTTTTCTGATTTTGCGAAACAGGGAAAAAAAAAAGGAAAAAAAAGTTCAAGAAGCCGAAAGTAAACTTCTGTGTTTTTGTTAGTTTGTTTGTTTGTTCTTTTTTTTTTTTTTTTTTTTTTTTCTTTTGGAAGTAATGTCACGTTTTCTCTATACAGTATTTGAACACGCATTTATCTAGCAGGCAAACAACAACAACAAAAAAAAAAAAAAAACCGAAAAGTAATGAGAGGGAAGGAAGGAGTGAGAGAGTGAGCGTTAGAAATACAACGACTCCTGTTGAATTTCACCTCAACCCCCTTTTTATTGATTTCTTTTTTCTTGTTGTTGTTTTTATTATTATTACTGTTGTTGTTGTTGTTGTCTTGCCATCTGTCCGTATATTTATTGGTTCATATGTATGGTATTTGTATGTTGTTGTTGTTGTTGTTGTTTTATTGCTTGTATGAAGGAGTAAATATATATATATTTATATTTATATGTGTATATAACGGTATGCCTGCATTTAGTGGGAAACAGAAAAAGAAGCAGCTGCAGGAAAGGCGACAGCGCAAGAAGCATTATGGGGAGGAGTATGAGGACATCCAAAGAAGAGATGTCATCCACCACAATGGCAATCCGCATGGCCATGACGGCGACAGAAGTAGTAACCGGAATGAGGAAAAGGATTATGCGAAGGTGGAATATAAATACGGTGCAGATCGCAAAGGAATTCGAAGTGTGTTTCTAAAGGAGACGGTAGAAGAAATTGCCGCACGTAAAAAACGCGCATATGAGCCACTGAAACAACGGCGTTTTATGGACGAAAATGGTATCCCTTTTGGCTCATGGTTTAACATGCCAGGGTACACCGATGCTGCACTAATGCCTTTTGCTGTGGAAATGCCGACACGTGGATGGGCATTGGATGAGGCGATGTTGGAAAATAATAACCAATGTGATGATAACACCTGTAGTAAAAAGAACGATGAGGTCCTCCCTGAAAATGTTTCCCTTGAATCACGTGAGTTGGAACGCTTTGAAGTATATCTGAAAGCGGTGGACAATTATCCACTTCCCCCGGCCTTGCAGACATTACAATTAAGTTCATATGAGCGCAACCTCGATGTTTGGCGGCAGCTGTGGCGTACAGTGGAGCAAAGCGATGTGGTTTTGATTGTGTGTGATGTCCGTTACCCAATCCTACACCTGCCGCTTTCCCTGTTGCATTATATCGTGCGGCAGTGTAAGAAGTCTCCTCTTGTGTTACTTAACAAGGCCGATCTTGTGCCAAGGCATGTCCTCGACAAGTGGATGGAGTTTCTGCCTCTTTATTTCAAGGCGACCGGTGTTGTGTCCGCGGATAAGGCTGAAGAGGCATCCACCGGAATTGTGTGTGATATTCCACTGCTGCCCTTCACATCCCTCCCGGCAGAAGAAACCGCCTTTGGTGCGGATGTCAACGGGAATCCGGCGCGGCGTCGCAAAAAGAAGAAGCGGCACGCAAAGTTGTACGAGCAACTCCGCACAGGGAAACTGCAATTACCGGAGACTCCCACAAGAGACGAATACGGCGACGATGATGAGGATGCATGTGGAAGTTCCTCCCAGGACGAGGAAGAGAATAATAAAAGTGGCAGAGTGAAATGTGATGGGGAATACACGTACGCTGAAACAGACAATTTTAAAGGTATGTACAAGGCTGAACGAGAGTTACAATGTGATAAACGTGAATACAACGAGCTTCAGATTGTCTCTGACATGATTTCATTGCTCTTACAGAAGTGTCGTGCGATGTGTGCAAATAAAACTCATGTTACATGCGGTACTGGCGGCGAAGAGGCGTTTCTGCGTATTGGTGTTGTGGGCCATCCGAATGTTGGGAAGTCGAGTTTGCTCAACTGCATTCGTGGCACAAAGGTGGTGTCTGTCTCCGCAACGCCAGGGCACACAAAACATCTGCAGACGATCCCAATCCCGTCCGAGCACGTTGTGCTCATTGATTCCCCGGGTCTTGCTTTTCCTCTCTTTGGTCTCCCAAGGGCCATTCAGGCTGTTGTTGGCACACACCAGATTGCCCAGACGCGTGACCCACAAAGTGGCGTAGCCTTCTTAGCATCCCACCTTCAAATTGAACGGCTTTACGGTTTGCGAAAAGTAGACGGGGCCGACGATACGGTAGAGTGGTCACCGTATGAGCTATGTGAGAGCTACGCCAAGAAAAAGGGGTACTTTGTGAAGCATGGTAAAGGGGCATTGGACGTACACCGCGGCGCGATTGAGATCTTGCAGGAAGCGTATGACGGACGTCTTGTGCTGTTCTTTGCCCCTCCTGACATCACGTGGTTAGAGAGCAGTCAATTCCGCAAGGAGATTTGCCCGCATCTTTTGATGGAATTGCATCTACCAAAAAACAGTGGGTGAATGATTCGAATAATAACGGGTGTATTTTTCTTGCTGTTTTCTCATATTTATTGTTCCTTATTGTCATCCATCTCTACGTCATTCTAAATCGTTCGTATGTTTTTTTTTTGTTTTTGTTTTTTTTTCTCTCTCTTTGTGTGTGTATGTGTGGTGTTGGATTTTAATGAGAGGCGTGTGGCGTTTTTCCACTTTTTCCTCCACGGACACACACACACACACACGCATACGCCGCCAGCGATGGGAACATTATTTCTTCATGTGTTTCCCCACTGAAACACGTGCCTTCTTTCTTCCTCTCTGCCCTCTTCTCCCCTTGTCTGACTCATACACTCGCGATGTTTACTTCTGCAGTAAGCGTGGTTGGCGGCGGCGGTGGTTTTTATAGATTCCTGAAGAACCACAACAAAAACAACAACAAAAAAAAAAAAACAAGAAAAAGAGCAAAATAATAAATAAATAATAAAACAGAAAGAGAGGGAGAAAGGGGAAAAGGGGTGACAGGAGGATGACGGCAATGGAAAACTACGCATTTGCGGAGGACTATAAAAACGCACGCGGCATCCCGCGGGTGGAGTACATCAGCGATATGGCCACTTTTGTCAGGAACAACGGTGGGGCGGATGCGCTCATCAGCAAACTTATTTTGGACTCCTCCAAGTACGAACACACGGAGAAGCGACTTGTGAGCAGCATGGCGAATTTAGACCACAAGATTCCAACTATAAAGAAGACCCTACACGCATTGAATTTCCTCAAGAAGCGGTTGCAGGAGGATCAAACCCCTGTGCGCTCCTATTACTGTCTTACGGATGCCGTCTTTGGAGAGGCGGAGGTGGTGCCGCAAGAGACGGTGCATCTATGGATGGGTGCGAAGGTGATGGTCGAGTATACCTTTGATGAAGCTTTACAGTTATTAGAGAAAAACCTTGCAAACGCAGAGACGAATTTAAAAGCAACGAAGGAGGATCTTGCGTGGGTGCAGGAGCAGATGACAAATCTGCAAATTAACATATCGCGGGTGTACAATTATGATCTAAAGAACAAGCGGACAAATGGTGGTGCCGCGGAGCCTTCCGCGTAACCGGACGATGGGGGAGGGAATTTTTGATTTTTTTGTTTTTTTTTTTTTTTTGTTTTTATGGAAGAAGCAAAATAGCGGAAGAAGAGCATAAGGAAAATAATAATAATAATAATAAAGAAATGAAATGAAACTCAATGAATTCCACAGAAGAAGAAGCCAAAGGAACACATTTGAAAAATAAAAAATGAAGGAAGGAAAAGAGAGAAAGAAAGAGAGGGTTTGTCAGCTCTACCCTGCATTTGCTCCGAGGACAATTTACCGTGCAAGAAGATACCGTAGAATGAAGTGGCGACTTCTCTGCGCCTTCATTGGTTTGCTGGGAAAAAGAAAATAAACAAACGCCTGCCTTGAATTACACTGCGCTTTGTGATCCGCGTATATTTGTCTATATATTTAACAGCATTTTTTAATAGAATCGCTAGTCGTTTCTGCCGCATCTTGTGCTGTGGGAGAAGTTGGTATTTTTTGATGCTCCACGATGTACACTCCGTTTTCTTTCTTTTTTTTTTTTCTTGTTGGTTTGTTTCTGCTGTTTCTTGGCTGTCCTGCCAACTAGGTATTCAGCGTGGGTGGGGGGAAAAGAGAAAAAATCGCTTGTATATAATCAAGGGACATTACATTTACTTCTCTCCCTCTCCCTCTCTCTCTCTCTGTGTGTGTGTGTTTGTGTGTTTGTCTGCGACGATTGTTGGCGTGAACGTTTGTGGGTGCGGCACGCGGCATTGAGAGAGTACGAAGGAAAAAGGAAAAGGCATGAGGCGTGGTGGAGGCCACCGCGTGGCGATGTCTGTTTCGGCGACAGCCTTTCCTGTTACCGCCTCATCTTCCTTTTTCTTCTATCGCCGCTGCTGCATTTCTACCGACAGATGTACCGCCACGGCACCGCAGGACCCCGGCCCACAAGCTTTCCTTCTACAGCTTAGACGTCGCTTTGCCCGGGGTGCTCTGGGAGTGAGGGATGAGGCTGCAACGAATGTCATGGAGAAGTCGGACGCCGTGCGCTCTCACGAGACAATATCACTGCGGCAGATACTCAAGTGCTGCGAGGAGGTTTGCGACGCTGAAAGGCCCCTGGCATGCTCCCCGGAGGAGTGGTCGGAGGCGGTGCAGCTGCTCCTGTATGCCCTGGTGCGAGGAAAAAGAGAGTCTGGAGATGAAAGCGTGACGACGCAAGATCCATCTGCGGAGAACTCAACGCCGTGGTGTGTTTCCCTCCGCCTTTTTCTTCACACGGCCCCGTCTGGAGGTGAGTCACACGCTGAAAACCCACCCGTCCATCCTCCAGCCTCTTGCGTGAGTTTGTTGCGGTGTTGCGTGCGCCATGGAGCACCGGTGAACGTCGTCCGTGCGGTGTACCAGACGCTACGACTGTCTGTCCCCGCAGCGTCAGGGTCGCCAGTTACCGGTTGGCATGTGCCGTATGCACGGTTTCTGCTCATGAAAGCTGCCGCTGAAGAGATGACGGTATCGTTTTCCCTTCACAAGGAAGCCCTGCGAGTGTTATTGCTGGATGCCGCCGAGGACGGTGAGATGTTGCAACCTGCTGGACTGCTGCTTTCGCTTGAGGTGCTGCGGCGCCTGGTCACATGGAGAAAAAACGAAGAGGGTGGTAACTTACAAGAGAATGTAGGGATGAATAAGGTGGAGGATGCGCTTTGGAGTCGCCTGCAAAGAGGCACGGATGTTGTGTCGGTTGCCCGTGATGTCTGTTGCTGCGTGTTTTATAACAGACATGTCCCGCATGCCGTGAAGCGGGAGGCCTTTTGTCTTTTTATCGCCGTGGGCATGCGGCTTCCCCTGGAGGAATTGGACTCTTTTCTTTGCACTGTACACCGTGACGATGTGTCGGCCGCTTCAGGCAGCGAGATGACACCGCAACTTTTTTTGGAGACTCTTCAGGCCGTGACGGAGATACTGAGCAAAGGTGTCGGGGATGGTCTCGCCAGTTACGGGGCCGTCACGCGTGCATTAGCCGAGCCGTCGAATGTCATGCATTCCCACTCCACGGCGGTCCAACGTTTTGTTTTGGTGTGGTTGGTTGATCATATCGTGAAGGGATTGGCGTCCTTTCAGCGTCAGGTGATTACCGTGGGCAGCGTGAAGGAGAGTAGTCATTGTGCGGTGGAGTCATGGGCAGAATGCACACACGCTGCACTACGATGCCTGCAGCGTCTTTTTTTGCACTTACCGGACGGACTGCATGGAACAACAAAGCGTCGGAAACATGAATTGTATGTTGCAAGGCAACAGGCGTTCTGTCTTTTGTTTCACGCCGCCCTTGACGGCGCTTTTTACACCTTTGTTGGAGACAGAGCGTCCTCTGCATCGGAGCGTTCTCCCTTCTTAGATGTGATGTCAGTTCTCATACAGGCATACGGCGAGCATGACTGGCGTCAGCCTTCCGTTGACGTGTTTATTGAATGCCTGCATGCGTGGCACCGCCACGAAGTATTGCGGCGTGTTTTTTGCCATGTTTGCCGAAATGACGAAAGGAGGTGGCGCATCGGGCACAAATGTGACAGCACCGGCGATAGCGCGAAAGAAGTGACAAATTCTTCCCGCCGTTGGCGCTTTTCCCTTCGTCTCTCTACGTGTCTTGTGGTAGTAGAGTCCTCCTGTCTCCACGATGACCCGACGACGGCAGCTCTCGCAGTCAGACACATGCTGCGTTCTCTTCTTGCCGTGAAGTTCAGTGAGCAGCCCGCACAGAATGTGGATAACGGTGAGGATGTTAAGGCGCACGGCGTGAATGTGGACTCCCTTGCAGAGAACCGCGTGCTGGAGGGACGGAGCGTAGCGGAATGGACACAATTTATCCGTGAAGACATCATCCCACGTGTGAATGAAGTTTTTTGCCGCACCGGCACCGATACGACGCAACAGTGGCTGGGGGACTTGGATGCAGAGAGCTACCCCTCCCCTGTTGTTGAGGCGACGCCCGGCACGACATTTATTCATGAGTAGTGAAATTGCGTCCAGCAATGGATGCAGTTCAACTAATGAGATGTTGGCAAGTGAGGGAAAAGGTGAAGAGACATTACATGAGGTTGAACGATGAATTGTTGTTGTTTTTATTGTTGTTTTCTCCTTTTTTTCCTTCCTTCTTTTTTCCCCCCTGCGTCACATCTTACGTTCTTTACATCCCCTGCTTCTGATATTGCACAGAGTTGGAGGGAAAATCCTTTCAAAATAATAATAATAAAAAAAAAAAGAGGGCGCGGGACAACACAGCAGATGGACGCCTGGCGTTGCTCTGTCTGCAGGAAGACAAAGGAACTCTCGGGGAAACACCTTGAGGGAAAGACATCTGTGCGGTCAGACTGCTGGCCGTGTGCGAAGAAGTGTGTATTTGTGCGGGAGTCCCCCGCGGTATCCCGAAGCGCGGCACAGGTGGTCACGGCGCCGTTCCTCTTCAATCCGAACCTGTCAACATCCCTTGAGAAGTCCACGACGGCGGCATCGACAATGGCGACGACGGGAGTGGCATCGAATCCATTCACCGCGTCGGCTGCATTCACGAACAAAACGCCATTTGCCAGCGCCCCAAACACGTGGAAGGGCACAACGGCCAGTAGCAAACCAGTTAACGCCGCCGCGGACGCATTTGCAGCAGCGGGAAAGCAACTGGAGACGGAGGCCCCCGCACGAAAGAACGCGTTCTTGCCGTCAGAAAAGGCCTTTCCCATCGTCATGCACTCTGCACCCGCCACCGACAGACCACGTCAGTCACCACCGTTTGCATTCACATCATCGCCTACCGCCGTCATGCCCTTGGTCAACGACAACGCAAAGTTGGGGAATATAACTAGCAACAACGGTCACGAAAGCAGCAATAAGCCAGTGTGGCGTTGCTCTGTCTGCAGGAAGACAAAGGAACTCTCGGGGAAACATCTTGAGGGAAAGACATCTGTGCGGTCAGACTGCTGGCCGTGTGCGAAGAAGCGTGTATTTGTTCTCTCCCACCCCGAATCGTGCGTTTCTTCCGAGCCCAATTTGTCAACTTTTTTTTCTACGACAATGAAATTGGCGACGTCGCCGAATAACAGAACGCGGGATGTTATCAGCATTTCGCACGGCGCCAGCCCTATGCCATCTGCAACGAGGTTGTGGCAGGATCCGGTGGTCCCCTCGAACGATCAGGAGGCCAATGCGTTTATTGTGTGCTATTTTTCTCAACAGCCGTCAGCAAAGGAACAGTTGGATCAGACGAGGAGGTCCGTCTCTTTGGAATCCTCTTCTCCGAGCGTCTTATTGCCGTCGCTTGCAATGACATTTGAGGGAGAGGTGTTGCGTGGGTACAGACAGCAACTTGTGGATGGTATACGTACCCGAACCGTGTGGCATGACTGTACCCTGTACGTCTTGGCGCCTGAGAACAGAGAGGGAAAAGGCCCCAATACGGCCGGTGCTTCACAACTAGGGGCCGCCGCAGTCGTGTTTCTCGCAGCGGAGCATAAGCTTGCGCTTTCGCCGTTTCGACGTATGCGACGTATATTTTGCCCAGATGAGTTTACTTTTGCGGCAGCGTGTGTGTACGCGAATACATTTTTGGCGGGGCATCCCACAAGCTCTCAGCAGTCCTCGTTTGTTGTGTATGGGCCACAGGTGGACCACACGGTGCCCATGACACGGTGGGGCCCCATCATTGAGAGCTGTACTCATGCGCGGCAACGGGTGGTAAGCGAGGAGCAGCGGGTGGAGGGCGCACAAAGCATCTTTCGTCGTAGCGGCTGGCTGGCGCTGCCGCTGCACGCCACAGCCGAGGCAATTCGACTGTTGGAGGTGCAACAACAGCAAGAGCATGCTGAAAAAAATGCCACGGAATGTTTGGGCGTTGATGTCGTTTTCGTGGCGGAGACGATGCGGCTTGAGGACCTGCCACAAGCGGCGGCGCTGGCCCTTCCAGTAAAACCATTTTAATTACTGAGATTTGGCATGGGAAAAGGAGAAAGAGGCGAAGAAAAAAATTTTAAAAAGGGAAAAAATATGAGAGAAAAGAAAAAAAAAAAAGGAAAAAAGTATGAAATGGCAACATGCGGTTATTAAAACATGCTGTATTTTCATTAAAGAATTCTTCTGCGACAGAAAAGAAAAAGGCCTGGTGGGTGTTATCGGCGGCATCATCGAAAGTATCAGAGTTTTTTTATAAAGATTTCTTTTATTGTGCACAGACGGATAGGTACACATAAAAAATTGCACTTTGGCGTGTAATGTATGTATACATATAACCCTTTTTTTTTTATTCTGTTGGCTGATCGCCTATTTTTGTATTCTCTCTTTGTTTTTTTTTTTTTTTGTTTTTTGTTTTTTTTTTCCTCTTTTTCCTCTTTCTTGCTGTGTGTGTGTGCGTGTGTGTGTCAAGTGTAGGGAAGGAGAGGACAACGAGTGTCTATCGTATTTCAAGCATCTTTTGTACGCACGTAGAAGCGGGTGTGTGAGGAGGGAACACCCCCGAGAGAGAGTATAAAACAGGTCCAAGAAGACCAAAAAGCGGTGCTGTGCCACATGGGGTCGGGTGGCAGCACGTCACTTGGCGGACGAATTACGACTGTGAAAGAAAAAAAGAAAAGTGAACCGCGGAAATTAAAGGTGACGGACTACACGAACAGACCGTTACCTGCCCGATTTGGCCGGGCCGTATTTGCCTCGCGTATGCTTGCTGAACTGCCACCGCCGCCGACGACCGAAGACGACGGGCAATACGCGTGGTTTGTGGAAAACCTTGACCGGCCGGGTGAATGGGAGGCATACACACCGGATGTCTCTGAAAGGCTTGATGCGGCTTGGCGTGGCGGACAGCGGGAGTGTCTTATTCTATCGAAAAAGAAGCGTATATGCACAGTAGACCTGAACGCTATGGTGCAAATGGCGGCTGGAAGCACCACGCGTTCGCGCAGGGTAAAGCGGGTGGAGGTGGAGAAGTGTGGCGATTCCACGGTGCGGGAAAAACGGCACTTTTCCCCTGATCCCTTTCTTGAGGAGGCATTGGAAGATGCAGGAAGAGGGGAAGACATGATGGCCAATGAAAACGGCGAAAACGGCTGTCATGCCGAGGAAGGTGTTGTTGGCGAGGCTGACAACGCAGATGCGTCGCGGCTTCCATGTCTGTTACGTTCTGTAGCAGCACATTCCATCACGCCCTATACATTGGCGTTCTCTAGCGATGGTCGCACGCTGCTAACCGGGACGCGGGGAGAGTTGCTACACTGGGATTTGGAAACGGCGATTGTCTTGACGGCGTTTGATTTGAAGTCCAGCACTGTTTTAACGGCAGCGTATTCATCTGACGGCAGTCGTGTCGTGTGCGGCGGGAGCAGTAAAATTGCCTGGTTGTTTGACACAAACTGCCCGGATGCACAGATGACGTTTACTGGTCACACCTCCAAACTTTACGGCGTTGACTTTCTTGCGGGGGAGGAGCGACTTGCAACGATATCGATGGATAAAACCCTGCGCTGCTGGGATGTTCGAACGTCCATCTGCATGCAAAGCGATGAATGTCACACGGCGCCGATTTTTACACTAGCGACATCTAAGCGTTGCGACTGGCTTGCGCTTTCAGGTGGTGATGACCACGTTGTCTGCTCTCATGATTTTCGAGTTGGCAGCAACTCCGTCACGGCGAGGTTCTGTGGACACAGGAAAACCATCTGGACATGTGCCTTCCGTGGCGATGAAAATCAGTTTGCTTCGAGCGGCATGGATAAGGCCCTAAATATATGGGACCTGCGGCAGCCCAGTGAACCGGTACTGAAGGTTTTCTATCATATGCATCCGGTTCATTTTGTGGAGTATATGCCGCATGATAGGGGCATATTGACGTGTGCACGGGACTGGACGGTGCGCCTCACGGATGCGGTCACCGGTGAGCCTGTGTGGCGCGTAAAAGCACATGTAGGACATGTCTTTCGTGCTCGCTACCATTTTGGGACGCGCATGATGGCCACAGGCGGTGGGGATGGGCATGTCAATATCTGGCGGTACGACAATGCGGATAAGTGGTAGGGGAATTCAAAAGAGAGAGGGAGAGAGCGTGCGTGTGTGTGTGTGGGAGAGAGAAATAAAGAGAGTACATGTATGTGTATGCTGCTCCACTCGGAGTGCAATAGCCTCTTTTTCCCCCTATCTTGCACCAATGAGAAAGAAGGGGGGGGGGAAAGAGGAAGGGTGGTGCTGGGAATTTTTATTCCATAGAAAAGGAATCCGATGGGTTTTGACTCTCTTTTGAATTTTTTTGTCACCTTTTCGTTTTTTAAGTGGAGTTGTCATATGAGCATATGTGTGTAGATGTTGCGTCCCGTTGTCCCCCCCCCCCCCGCTCCAGCCATGTGGAGCCAACACACTGGCAACAAACACACATGCATAGATGTAATATGTATATGTATGGCTACAAATACACACAAGATTAAGCTAAATTATGTGTGTTTACTTGTGAGAGAAAAGTGTTTTTTTTTTTTTTCTTTCAGACCCTGTTTGTTTGTTTTTACTGCCTTGTTATTCATGTTGACTTGAATGCGACTCTCTTCTCGTCCGTTTTTTTGTTTTTTCCTTCATTCACACACACAGAGAGAGAGAGAGAGAGATCCACGAAAAAAAAAAAAAAAAGCATATATAAATAAATATATATTTCCTCTTCTTTGGTTTCCTTCTTTTTTAACTGCTTGTCTCTCTCTCTCTCTCTGTCTGTGTGAATGTCATGTATTTTCCACCACTCCCGTTTGAGGAGGAAAAGGAAGGAAAGGGGCATCATCGTTTTTTATCATATCTCTTTCTTCTGTGTTTACTTTTTTTTTTTTTTTTTGCAGCCATTTATCTTTTTCGTTACTGGCGAACGGAAGGGAAATTGAGAATATTCAACCTGCATGATTTCTCTGGATTGCAATGCTCCTTGTCTTTTTTTTATTTTTTCTTTTCTTACTTCCCCACAATTACAAAGAAAACCTTAGATACATTCATTTATACAGACAGATAGACCGATAGATAGATATAGCTATTATTATTATTATTATTATTATTATTATTGTCTGTGGGGTGGGAAGGAGGGAAAACCGTTACGGGTACCATTGCGACCCCTTTTTTACTTTTATTAAAATTCAAACAACCCGATAGAAAGTGGGGAAATTGAAATATTGTGAAGGAAAAAGAAAGAAAGAAAGAGAGAAAGGAGGTGGGATGCAGCACACGGGTGATGGCATATCGTCGGGGAGTCCTGGCTTAAGGCTTGTGAACCTGCTCTTTTCAGATTACCTTGCCAGCCCTGCATTTGGTACGGATGTACTTCAAACCATATTAAGCACCTCCGCAAGCTATTTTACTCGCCGTCGATCAGATCCGTTGATTCACTCTATGAATATGATCCCACACTTGATTTTACTTCGTCTAGTGGAGTGCCTTGTATTAGAAACGTTGCTAAAAAGTGGACTTAGTATTTTTCATGATGCGGGGGTATTTCATGTGGTGTTTCAGTATGTGCAGCAATACCGTTTTTTTCACTGCTGGATTACACGTTTTCTTTGCACGTTAGGGAATATTTTTCTTCCTTCCGGTATCCGGCAGCTTTTAGGCCGACGCATTGCTGAAACCGTACTTATTCCCGCATCCACTTCCAGTGACCCGTTAAAGGCCATGCCAGTAGAATATAGGGAAAGCTTACGATATTATCGTTACATGTACGATCGGAGTGTGCCGTATGCCGTTTTTGTGAGTGGATTCGTCTGCGAAATGACACACTGCATCACCGAACAATTAGTGTGGTTGGCGGAGTTTTACCGTTCGCGCCATAAGCACACCTCGCGATGGCGCCTATTGAAACCGTATATTTCCTCCCTTGCAGGAAACACCACACAAATGCTTCTTGTGTACTCGGCACGAGTGGTCGGTGCGTGGGCCGGCCGATGTGTGTCACGCGAGCCGACTGGTAGGTCCGTGTTTTGGGGCGAAAGTGTCGCCCTTCTTGCGCTTTCCCCAGCCATTCATCGGGTGACAACTTTTATCACCATGCAGCTACGCAACAAACTGGAGATGTTATGCCCAGCCACGCCGGAGGATGAGCGAGAAGACTTTCGTGAGGAGGAGATGAGAGAGGAGGAAGAAGAGGAACCGACGGCGTTCAGAATGCAGTTTAACAACCCCAGTCCTAGCGGCACAGCGCAGGTGGACTTCTACGAGGTGCTGGGTGTGAAGGATACTGCAAGCGCGGAGGAGATTAAACGAGCCTATAGGAAGGCTGCACTGACCAATCATCCAGACCGGGTTGGCCATGACGCAGCAGCGCAGAAAACTGCACGGGAACGCATGACGAGTATTAATCAAGCGTACGAGACACTCTCGTCCGAGTCGAGACGGAGACGGTACGACATGGCCCGTCAGATGGGCACGGATTTGGGTGTGGTGAAACACTTTGAGAACCTCTCCACTCCTGTAGTGCTGGGTATTGGGTTAATTGGTCTTCTTGGATTTAGCTTGACGGCGTCATTGCTTTTGTGCGGCCAGTACTTTGCTGCCTTTCATCAATTGACGGGAACTGGAAGAAATCCTTTGCGATATCTTGGCATTGCCTGATTGGGAATCGACCGCGTCAAAGTAATGATGGGGATGGAAGGAGCGAAGTATTAAAAAAAAGAAAGATGGAGGTGAGGAGTGTTTATATGTATATATATATATACATATTGTAAAAAAAAGGGGAAAGAAAACATTGGCGGACGTGTTTCCTTTAGTCAATGTTGTGTTTCTTTGCGTGCGTGATGCCAACGAGAATGTGTGCATGCTGGCTAGGAGAGGGGGGAGGTGTTATTATAATTTTTATTACTTTACATAAGTGAATGTCTGTGTTACCCGATGCCGGCACCATTTTCTCCTTTTTTAGACCCTTGTTTTTTTCTTTTATGCATTATTGCATGCGAACATTTCACTTTTTCAAATTTGGTGCTTTCTTCCTTTTTTGTTGTTGTTGTTGTTGTTTTTGGTTTTGCCTTCTAGTGAAGTGCTGTGCTGTTTTAGCTAGGTGGGACACTGCCCCATTTTGTATATACGCACACGTATATATATATATACATATAGGAGAAGCGGCGGCAATTGTTAAGGGTAGGAAGAAAAGTAAACGCAGTATTCCTGCGCATTCCACTGGGTAGATATCATATTGGTGTGCCAATGGGCGAACAGTCGCCAACGGTGGACCCTTCACGGCAGCAGCCGCTACCCCCACAATTATCATCTCAAATTCCTCCACTTATGTTTTATGATGCAGAATCCGTGCTGTGTGCACCAGTGACGCCTCAACAGGTCATTGCCTTTAATCCACGTGAGAAGGGTCCACCCTCACGCGTTATGCCTGATGGAAGTGAGTACTACGGTGATCTTCTTCTTGATCAGCCACATGGTATTGGAATCATGCTGTTTAAATCCTCTTCAAGCTTTTATGCGAATGGTGACCGGTATGGAGGGGGCTGGAAAAATGGTTTGTTTCATGGCGATGGTATCTTTGTGACATCTTCCTTCACATACCAGGGCGGCTGGTTCGAAGGTCAGATGCACGGGAAAGGGCTAATGACTTACAGTCGTCGCATTACGGATTTAATGCTGCGCGGCATATCTGTTTTTTCGCCCTTTGACAAGACGCATGCGCCACTGGAGTATAGGGGAGATTTTCATTATAGATATCATCGCCATGGTCATGGGATCATGCGATATGCTAACGGCGATACTTACGATGGGGAATGGGGGTCAAACTGTCGTCATGGACGTGGACGTCTTATTACCGATGACGGTGAAATATATGAAGGTCAGTGGAGCAGAGATGAACGTCATGGTAACGGGAAAATCACTTATGTCAATGGCGGAGAGTTTAAAGGATCTATGGTGCGTGACAAGCGTCATGGCGAGGGAGTGATGATGTTCCCCAATGGAGATGAGTACTATGGCACTTTTTACAATGACAAAATTGAAGGACACGGTACAATGCGATACAAAAACGGTGATGTCTATGAGGGAATGTGGAAGGATGGCCTGCGAAATGGCGAGGGAAAATATTCCCTGCGGAAGAAAGGCGCAACGGTGGAGGGGCGTTTTGTGAATGGTCTGATCCAAGGGAGAGGCGTTGTACGGCATCCAGGAGTGTCGACATTTGTTGGTGAGTTTGACCGGGGTGAACGACGGCATGGAACTCTGTTCTGGCATGACTCTGCACCCGGTGAGGGTGCATGTTATCAAGGGGAGTGGCTTGGAGAGACAATGCACAATCGTGGCCTATTGTGGTATCGTAATGGTGATTTTTATTTTGGACGGTTTTTAAAAAATAAACGTCATGGACCAGGGAATATACGCTACGCGGATGGTGGAGAGTACAGTGGATACTTTGTCAATGATATGCGTGAGGGACAGGGCATCCTACAGAATAGTAATGGATCCATTCAGGCTGGGATGTGGCACAACGATGTCTTTATTGAGGGCTACGATGGCGAGTGGGATGGGGTGACGTTTAACGGTATAGGGCACCTGCTACTTCGTAAACCACCAGCTTGTGTGCCTGCCGGAGGAAGTAACAGCGCTACCGCCACATCCATTGGGACGGGTGGCGGTGGTAGCGGTGGTGATGTTAGCCCAACTGCCGCTGCGACGTCTGCCGCTGCTTTCACAGGCATGCAGCCAACATTTGAGCACTTTGGCCTTTTCCTCCACGGTGTACGTCATGGTGCCGGTGTCCTCCGGCTTGCTGGGCATGTTATTATGGGGATCTGGAAACACGATGTCTTGTCGTGCGAAACGGGGTCGTGGGAGTTTCCCTCCGGTGATTTGTACTTGGGTGGGTTTAAAAATGGTCTTCGTGAGGGTCCCAAGGGTCAGATGTGGTTTACAGATGGTTCTTTTTTTACAGGGAACTGGCAGCTTGACGCCCCTCTGGGAAGCGGTTTGTTTTATGCAACCGACAAAAGGGAGCCCATTTATGCTCCGGAAGAAACCGCCACCGATGCAATTTCCCCCGCTGCTGCTGAAGAAGAGAGCACACAAAGCAGCAATTACTCGGGAGTAATGAACCTCTTCATTAACCTTTTCCGCCGAAAGACGTTGCCGGAGAATAAGGAAAAACGACGCCCCATTGGCTTCCGGGAGCACTTTGTATTACAGGGGGAATGGGATATTGCGCGGCTTCCCTACGCCATTTATCAATCACTCATGTCACGACTCATGAGTAGTTCGAGTTTGATTGCCACCGGTGATGGTGCCGGCGGTGGGGGTGAGGGTGGCGGTAATAGTAGTAGTAACAGTGGAGGGGCGGTGGCGGCAGGTACGCTGTCGTCAGGTAACAACAACGGTAGTGGAGTCAATGCTTTATTTAAGCCCCCTGCGATGATCCCAGTGGGTGTGCAAGAAAAACGTGGTTTTGTTTTTTTTAAGTCTGGTATCTGTTTGCGCACGGAGTGGTTACATAACCACCCGCGTTTGATGCTTCCGCACCGACCCGATGCGCCCTTGTACAACAAGATCCGAGGTGTGATCGTGACTGATGACAGAAACGGGGGCGGTACTGGGGGATCAAAGATCTGCAGCTTCTGTGAAAAGCCTTTTACGTTTTTCCGTAAGGAAACCCAATGCACATTTTGTGAACAACGCAGTTGTACTTCCTGTCTACATCCCATCGAGGTTCGTGGTCGCCCGAAAATTGAGGCACTGTTGCGACTGCGAATGGGCCAGAACTCAATGAATAGTGATGCTAATAACAATAACAATGCTGCCACGGGCGACACATTTGTCCTACCGGCGCAAATGCCTGCATGTGTGGACTGCGCGCGAGTGGCCTTGCTCGGTTTGGAGTTCAACGTTATCTGGATACCGATGCATTGCCTTTCCGTTTCAGAAACAATTACGAGTTCAAACGCATCGACAGACGAAAAGAAGACGGAAACGGTAACCGCGACCATAGCATCCTCAGAGGCATTTGATAAAGCAGAGAATTCACTTTTGAAATTTTCTTCTTCCATGTACCCCTCTTCGTTGTGCTCGAACGCACCGTATGTTGTATACGAGGGCTACACTTGTAATTGTATTCCACATATCTACGGTTCTTTGTGGTGGGGAAAAGAGGGTTATTATCTTGGCGCTTTTCATGAGGGTCGCCGTCATGGCAGAGGCGTTCAAATGATGGCAAATGGAGAGAAGTACGTGGGAGACTTCTCGAATGATGAATGGCAAGGTATGGGGATTTACTGCGCAGATGACGGATCCGCTTACGAGGGAGTATGGGAACATGGGAAACTCACATCTTTACTTTACCACGGTGAGCTAGATGAGCAATACCGGCGTCACGGCAGGGGGCAATCATATGAAGCGGACGGTAGCCGCTACAACGGGGAATGGCAGCACGGTCAGCGGCATGGTACTGGGATTTTGCAAATGAAAGATAATGTTGTATATAGTGGGGATTTTGCATTTGGCCGCATCGAAGGTGAAGGGAAGCTTTTGATGAAAACAAGCGTCTTCTATGGCAGCTTTCATGCCGGTAAAAAGCAGGGAAAGGGATCTGAACATTTTGGGGATTGCGTTATTGAGGGAGAATGGTATGATGATGTATTGACTGGATTTGTACGCATCTATGACGCCCTTACAGAAACTGTTTATGAGACGACATATCAAAACGGTAATGAGCGCGATGACTGTTTTGTACCACCTGTCATGGTGGACGATGCCTACTGTCAAAACTGTGCCCAATGCCATGCCACATTCTCACTCTTTCTTCGGCGGCATCATTGTCGCTTATGCGGAGAAGTTGTCTGTGATAGCTGCTCACAACGCCGGGCCTCGATGCCATTGCATTTCAAAGCGACTGGTACAAGTCGTGTGTGTGATCGCTGTTATCGACGCATGGAGGAGCGCCGTATGCTTGGCATTCGACGGTATGCAAACGGGGAGGTGTACGCCGGCTGCTGGACGCGTGGACGGTGGGTGTCGCGTGGTCTGTTTTCCCGCGCAGATGGTAGCGTTGTCGTCATGGATCTTGCTGGATGCCCGCTGGTAAACGGACATGAGAAAAATTCGGTTGCAAACACGGAAAGTAAACTGGAGCTGCCACTGGATGCATCACCTCCAGTTGAGGAACTACGCAAACTTCCACCTTCTTCATGCACAGAGGTAGACGCTTTCACGCTGTGGTGGAGTATGATGCTTTCGGTTGCCGAACTGAGCCTCCCGCTGGAGCTGACGCCATGCAGATCCTTCACACTATTGCGTGCACCACAAATGAAGCCGCTGCGACTCTTCATTGAAAAGGACGATGCCAGGGATGATGGTAATGATGACGGCGGTGGTAAAAGGGGAAATGATGTTAGGGATGCAGCGGTCGTGCGGGTGGCGCGGTATATTCCCTCCATTGCGCCACCCGCACCGGAACCACCTGCCCGGTTGTCGGATGATTCGGTATTGACATCTTCGCCCCCGCCGCGGCCGATGATTACGGACTCGCACATCATGCGCCTTGTGACAGATGGTCGAATGGAAATGTTCCCCGCAGTTCCGCCGCCTTCGACTGACGGAAACGGCGTTGTGATGCTCTCATGCTACCAACGTGGACCGCTGTTACCGCCAACGCCACCGCGACCATCTCCGGGTAGAAACGATCGCATCATGTGGGATTCCTGGCAGACACGCCCAGTGCCGCAGTATCGCGGCAATCCGGAAACAAAAACGCAGCGAGGGGTGGCGGACTGGCAACATGTGCCTTTCGCGTGTCCTTTTCTGCGTCCTGTTGTCACTGATGTCGATCGTGCTGTGCGGGGTGGCGATGTGACGCGTTGGTTGCCCACACCTTTTGTCGGTCCGCAGGTCTTTACGGTGAAAGACACAAACGCCGGCGGTGTTCTTGTGGAGCAGAAAGAAGCCCCATCGTCCAGAACATCATGAAGAGGCGTGTTTGTATTGAGCCTCTTTATTTTTATTTTTCTTTTTTTCTTTTTTTTTCAAGTCTCTGCGTTTTGTTGTTGTTGTTTTTTTTATCCGGTGCGATTGTCGTGTTTACTTTCATTTTTTTTTTCTTTCTCTTCCTTTTTTTTTTTTTTTACGTTCGCTGTGGAGCCGGTTGCTGAGCACTTTATGAACCTCCCACTCATCCGTACAAATCCCTGTCAGCCAATTCACTACTGTTTCCATGTGTGCGTCTTGATGGTTTTTTTTTTTTTTTTTTTTTTCTTCTGTGTGTGTGTGAATCCCTGTGGAGAGAAACAAGCAAAAGAGAGAGGAGGTGGTTGGTGTACATTCAGACACCTTTTTTATTGTTCCGGCTCTCACGGCCAACACGTAACTTTTGTTTTTGTTGTTTTTGTGTGTGTTTTGGTTCCCATATATATTACATCACTGCTGGGGTATTTGTTTTCTGATTTCCCCCTCATTGTGCGGCACTGAGGGGTGACGTTGGCATCCGTTCACATCAACAATAACGGACTTTTCCGTGAATCGAAAATAAAGGGGGAGGGAGCAAAAACAGACACACACACAAAAAAAAAAGGGAAATTACATTTTTTTTATTATTATTTTAAAGGGGAAGAGTGGCGAATAGTTATTTCTGTGGATTTAAAAAAAAAAAAAAAAACACGGCAGCAACATCTGGAGAGTCCTTTTTTTTTTTTTTTTTTCCCGCAGAAGTGACACGAGTTTATGCGAAATGGATGGACACAACGCACATGCCAGTTTTGCTGATGTCCCATGCGTCTCAGACCCACCGTCACCATTGCAGCAGCAACCCCAGTCACCGACTCCGCAAGAAAGTGGCGCCGACGTAATTCCTTTTGTTAGCGACGGCACTTTCCGCATACCTGTAACGCCCGATATTGTTGGCTCCATTCCACGTGTCAAGGTTCCCCGACAGAAGGGGTGTTCGATGCGCGATTGGAGTGTCTGCTTGGAGAAACAGCAGCAGGCATTGAGGCAACAGGCATTGAAGCACCAGCGAAAGGAAGAAAGTGATGAGCGATGCCTTCTGGCGAAGAATTGCGGCAGGAGGATGCTTCCACGGCTGTCAAAGCAGGAAGTTATGACGCACGCGACTCATGATGACCTGTGGATTGTGATACGCGGGGTGGTGTACGACTGCAATAAGTTTCAGCACTTCCACCCTGGTGGCGAGAAAATATTGCGGCGATGTGCCGGGAGGGACTGCACAGCGCTGTACGATTACTTCCATTCATGGGTTTCGTGTGAGGGGATGATGGCGCCATTTGCGGTCGGTATCATTGAGGACGAGGTGCATGTATAAAGGCGTGTGTGCGGTGCTATGGCAGTTGGTGGCTTGTTTCTTCTACTTTCCAATTACCGTCCGTTGATGCATGGACGCTTATCGGCTGTGGGAATGGCGGGGAGCTCGGTGGTGTTTTGACCTACTACTCCTTTTTTTTTTTTTTGCTGTTTGCTACTTTTCTTCTTCTTTTTTATTTATTTTATTATTATTATTTGTTTGCTTGCTTGCTTGCTTGCTTTCTATATGTATTTCTCTCTATTTTGCTTCTGTTGGTGTCTTTTAGAAGGTTTGCGTCGTTGTTGTTGTTGTTTTTTGGGGCCTTTGTACTTTTGGACCACATGTGTTTGTTGTGTGGAGGGGGAGGGAAGAAGAGGCGTGGGTCCTTTAGGAGAGGAGGGGAGGGAGAGTGAGGGGGGGGGGGGGGGTAATTAAGTGAGCTCCATGTGCGGTGTATTTTCAGCGTACATGAAAGGGAGAAGTTTGCCATCGGCATCCATTCTGAAGGTGGGCGAGAGGAAATACATGTCCACACACACATTTACGGACAGTTGTTATGTTCATGCAAATGCCCCTTTCTCTCTGTCTCTCTCTCTGTGTGTGTGTACATATGGATGTGTGCATGTGTGTCTTCATGACTGCTGCATTTATTTATTTATTTACTTTTCCCCTTTTTCTTCCTTTATTTCTCTGGTGGCCACATGGAACGGGGGGGGAGGAGGAGAGGAAGTGAAGAAGAGAACACGAGGAGGGAAGAAAAAAACAAAAACAAAACAAAAAGAAGAAGAAGAAGAGGGGTCTTCTGCAATAAAAAAAAAAAAAAAGATGGGATCGGCAGTGACATGCGTTTCTTTTGGCAATCGTCGGCGGGATACGCGGCCAAAGGCGAGTCAAGATGACAATGGAGAAGAGGACATGTGGCAACAGCGGTTTCTCATGGAGGTTGGAAAAGATTCCACTTCCGTCACACGCGACTTTCCGCGAATTCCCGTGTACGTCCGCACCGCCACACGCAACAATTATTATGAACCGCAACGAGAAGTGCAGCGGGTGGAGAAGGAACAGCAGCAGAAGATACATGTGGAGATGACGGGGTGCTCGGAGGATGCCGCGCATCATTGTCTTGCGCTGAGGAGTGATCGGGTTCGCACATCGATAGAACTTCTGTTGGAATTGTGCGGCGAAGACACGATGGCGATGCTTTCCGCGTGGCAAACGGAGGAAGAAAGATTAGGCGTGGCGGATGCCTCTTCGTTGCTTCTTGCCGTACTGCTGATGAGTGGCATGCTGCAGGTGAAGAAGGAAACAGAGGGGAGCGGGCAATGTGAGAATGACGCACCGGGAACTTCACCGACGGTACCGAAAAGGGAAATGAGTACAGCCGAAACGACCACCGCCGCACCGAATGGGTCAACGGAATACGGCAAAGCGGATGCGGTGTTGTTGTCTGCTTCACCTCAGTACATAGTCCAAAGCAAGGCACTCCGTCTGATGCAGTACATGGTGCAGTCGGCGGTGTTCTTTTCCATTCAATGGCTTACTGGCGTTTTTCGATTCCCATGGTGCCGACACATGCACGATATCGTTTGGACTGCACATGTGTACTCTGAAAAGGATAGAAATCGAGAGGGTATGGAAGAAGGGGACATTGAGTTGATTATTGTGCAGCACAAACTGACGTTACGCCACTACGTAGAGCCGAAGGAATTACGGAAAAAGCCTCGGTTTGAAGTTGACTGGACATGTACCATCTGCATTGATCCCCGCCATCTTTTGCATGACACTTCCAACCCGCCGACGATGGGTAAGGATGCTGAAGTGCGCCAAATCACCGCGGAGGTTTTGGCGGCGCGTGTGGAGATGCCACCGAAAACGGCATGTTGTGTTTCACGGGTTTGGCGTAAGCGCCGTGATGCGCTGAAGGTCCGGCTGTGGAATCGCTTTCAGGTGGAGCTCGATCTCGTGCCGGCTCTGCATGGCCGCACTGCGAACTGAAAGGACCGGGTATAATCTATATATAGGTATATATATATATATATATATACCCCTACTGCTGCTTTTCCACCTGCGAGGGGAACCTGGCGGTTAGTGCCGGACGGATGGGGGAGAAAATGGCCCTGTTAAAGACTGCCACGTTGTACGTTTACAACGAGCCTAATTATCGTAACATGTCTTTTTTGCTGAATCCATACTTATTACTACTACTATTATTATCATTACTATTGTATCTGTAATGCTGAGTGTTTGACGAAAACCTTTTGCCTCCATGGGGAATATTGGGGAAAGGAAGGGAGCATTGGAATCCAAACCGTCATCTCCTATTCGATTGTGCAACCAAACACACACACACACACACACACACACACACACACACACACACACACCAACCCATCCCCCTTTTTGTATAGGAACATGGCCGCATCCAGGTGAATATATACATATAAATACATACGTATGCATACGTCTGGAGTTCTGTGGATTTTTTCTTCTGTAGCGACTTATCCTTCCATTTTTTTTTTTTTTTCTTTTCTTTTCTTTTCTTTTTTTTTTGTGTGTGTGTGTTACGCTTAGGAAAAAAAAAAAAAGAAAGATGTTTTACTGTACCGTCTGTGGTGCCTTGTTTGGGAATCTTCAGCAGCTGATGTTACACCAGCAGTCTCATTCTGCTGACATGCAGCTTGGCTGTGGGATGCAGCCACAATACGCCTCAGGGGCCATGCCAAATCTTCCCATTGGTATGTACCCTATGGCCCCAAATTTACTTCAGAGCGATTCTCAGTTACTTTACGCCGGTGGAATGGGGGGAGGGTTGCAAAGAGGTTCAATAGACAGCACGGCGTTAACACGCCGATTAGCCCCACCGATGATTGCCGGCAATAATGCTGGTTACATCATACCTGCAAAAGATATGTACATGAATGAACAATTGTTGCAAATACTTATGAACCTGAGGCATCCAAGCACGGAGGTTGAGCGTCTGCAAGCTGAGTTGTTGCATTTTCGTCAAAAAGAACAAAAACAAGAAAAAGAACAAGAACAAGAAAAGCAAAACCAAGAAAAACAACAACAACAACAACAAGAAGAACAACAACCAAGACAAATTCCTCAACCACGACTGATATTGGATTCTGTTTTAAACGGGAAAAAAGATGTGGATTTTGATTCGTCTACAACATCAAGCTCTTTACTGGGGCCGGCCACATATGCATTGAGGCTGGATTACATTGATGGTCTTGATATCCAAATATCATTAGAAGACATCGTTATTGGTTTAGACGAATACCGCCTTCTCAGTGGGTTGGAAAATCATTTGCTGGAATCTGTAAGGAAGAGGTATTACGCTAGTGCAACCATTGAAAAGGCAAACTCCGACCGTATCCTTTTGTCACTGAAGGACCCGTTGGAGTTTACTCTTCGGCATTCGCATGAATTGCATGTGTTAATCATCACTTTTACATGCCGTGAGAAGACTCTTTTCTGGGCCTCCCTTCGTGCGCATAAAGAAGGCATGTGGATCACTGCTCTGCGGCGGTCACCGGTGGATGTGTCAACGTGCTTGGAGACGACGAGCAGTTGCCTCCCAGAGACGATGTTGTGCGGGGCAATTCAGGCCGACCACTCACAGGATGTATTTGTCAGAACGGCAAAGCAAATGAGCAGTACAGAACAGCCGCGTTTGATTCTCGTGGAGGATGGGAAACGATCGACATTGACGTCCAAACAGAAACCAAATGAAGAATTGCCTGCGGATAAAGCGACGGTCGAATCGCGGCATGAAGACATGCCACGTGCCGTTTTGAAAGATGACGGAGATGTTCCTACAGATAAGAAACTTGTCAAGAGCCTCCTTTGGAATCTTCAGTTTGATTCAAACGGTACCCTAATTGTTCCCAAGAATTTTAAAACCTTCTCAGTTTCGCTTTCACGCCTTGCCAATCTGTCGCAGGAATTAAAGACAGAGGCAAGCGTTTTGCTTCAGATCCGCCCCGACGGTGCCTTACCTCACCATGAAGGATTCCCGGGTCATGGAACGTACAATAACGAGGTGAACCTCAACATCAGTTTTGTGACTGGTATCCCACTAAACGCGGTGCGATCTCGTGTACTTGTGTACTTAATTGAAAACATTGACCTGGAGACAGTGGAGGTGGTGAACAAAGCCCACAACCCCGCCGTGTTACTAAGACCTCCTGATGAAATTCAGTATTCAACGGTTGGTGAGGGCGTTTTGTTTCCTACTTTTAACGTCAGCATGTCGGGGATTTTTATAGCAGAGAAAACACATGCCCTTGTCATTATTGAATACGTCACAGCCAAAAAAAGTGGACCCATTGTGTTTGGTCATGCTTCCTTTCCTATTCACTTGGGCGCCAGGAAGGGTAACTTTCTCTCTCGAATACGATTAGGGGACCCGCGACGGCCCGAGGCCCGTGATATTCACTCTGTAATTTCACTTGAGGTAGAAAGGGATGCTATGGAGCACTATTCACAAGAGCAAAAAGAAGATGCATTGAATTCGCAGGCTTTATATAACTCCTTATTTGAACCACCAGGGAAATATTTTAACTGTTGCCCATGTGGTTACATTATGTGGTCTTTAGACAGCGATCCGGACTCCTTGTACTTTGATTTTCCCGATGAGCCAAAGCCAGTGGCTTCTGAGAAGGACCTCTATGTTATTTGGCAGGGAATGGATCCGAAAAGCCTCCCGTACAGTGATGACTGGGAAACGATATTAAAAGCCTTTATGGGTATGGCTAGACCTATGGGAAACAGGATTAATTATATTCTGCCGCATAATTCAAAACGAGGATTTTATTTTGACATTGAAAGTTTGCATAACATGGGTACAAGCCACGCTCTTTATGCTGTTGCCTCCGATTTGGGAGAGGGTGGCCCGGATGAGATTGTGCTAACGCTTCATCGAGACTGGTCTTCCGATGTCAGTGCGCCGCTGTTTAAGGAGCCACTGCGCATGCTTACTGGGATGAAGTACGATTCATATTTTACTGCCATCCTCTATCTATTTAAGCTGTCAAATCTCAGATCCATCAAGGAACATGGGGAAAAGGAAGTAAAAATATCCTCCGTGGGATGGTCGATGATTAGGCTAGATCTAGGGGAAGGCATATTACGTCATGGTCGCTATGCCTTGCCGTGGTTTTCTGGTGTTCCACCTCCTGAGATGCTTGAGCAGCTGAGCTCTGAGCCAATTGAAAAAGTATTTCCCAGCTTTCTCTGTGAGAATAAAATACAGTTTATGGAATCCAAATCTACCGTCGTTGTATCCATCAGTGATGCGGCAGACGTGGGGCAAATTGTTGCGGACCACCCCGGCCGGCCATTACCGCAGAAGTTGTTTCTCTCCAAAGGAGAAAAGGAGTCATTTCCATCTGGTGTCTATGAAGGCGCGGTCGGGTACACGCAGCAACAGATGGTAACTGCGATGGAGTTGAATGTAAAGGATGTTGAGCGAGCGGTAAACGCATGTCTTAAGGCGTACATTCGTGAGAATTTAGAAGAATAGAGAGAGATTTGTTGTGTTTATTTTTGTATAGTCAATTCTTACATCATCTCTCTATGTTTCTTTTCTTGTTTCTCTTGCCTCTTTGTCCTATTTATTTATTATTATTATTATTATTATTTTTTGTATGTGTGCTCTAATATATATTATATATGTACTTATATGCATGTATTTATTTTTTTTATTTTTTATTTTTTTGGTCTTGTAGTTGTTTTCTGCGTGGGCCACTGAGGAGAGGAGGGGAATGTCATGACGCCTACGCTCATCCATGCACTACCCCTTCTCTTCCTCCTGTGATCGCTCCTTTTCTTGCCTGATTGTTGGTTGGTCCCTTATTTGTTTGGTCCATGCTCACGTGCAATGGAGATATTTATTTACGTACGTCTTTGTAATATTTACCGTGCGGTTGCGTGTTGACAAACTTGGAAGGAGGTGACAGCGACGATGCGGATAAACTCCTTCACCACGCAAATGAAACAGAAAAGGGGTAAGAGATAAAAGAGGGAACACATGGAAAAGAGGAAATAAGAGCTCCCCCCTCTTCTTTTTTTTTTTTTTCTTTTTTTTTTTTTCCTCCAATTGATTTTTGTTGCTCTTTTATTTGTTCCTGTTTTGCGTGCATGTGTCCATGAATATTTTTTTTTTTTTTTTTTTTTTCCATTTCCCGTTTTTTGTCATTT